GGAGGGCAAAGGCATCGAGGGATAGAAATGTGGTCACCCGAAATTGCCCTGAGACGTCTGGAGAAATAACCTGCCGTCTATCTCGCGCCGGAGTTCGTTGGGCCGTGCGTGACGACGCGCCCACAGCCATCAAGCGATGCTTTTAATGTGGTTTTTTGTTAACGCCATATTCGGCCTTATTGTGACACGCGACAGGTCCATCTGTAGGACCTCTCCGAGAGGCGGAAACTTCTTCCCGGCCCACCGTCTCCGCATTCCACGCGGCTTGCTGCGCCTCTTTAGCACTAATGCGTGCCTCTCGATCCTGTAGTTGGGTGCGGGTCGCCTCCAACTGCTGTTCGCGTCCGGCGAGCGCGCACTCTCGTTCTGCAAGAAGGCCGCCGGCGACCGCAATGTCAGATTCGCGCACCGATAGGTTGTTATGCGCCTCTTCCACCTGCGAATGAAACTGAACGCTTCGATTCTGCACGTCCACGGCGGCGTGGGCGTATTTCGTGCTCAAGCGCTCCCCTTCAGCAATGATGAGCCCTTGCCACGCGCCCCAACTCCCGGACTGCGCCCACGATGGGCAAGATCAATTGATTCTCAAAATTTGGTAATTGAAAAGTCCGGAGATTCGCAATATGTCCTGTAAGGCTCGAATCCTCCCAGGGCTTGGTGACATTTCCCAAAATCAGACATAAGCCTGTCGAGGAGGGAGCCACAGTTAACGTCTCGTCCGACATCTCGGTTCCACTAGTGAACGTTGTCTGCACCTCGGTTTCGCCACGCTGGCGTACAAGGTCCCAGAGACGGGCGCCAATATCACACCACTCGGAGGCCGTGTAAGGAACCAATGCCGTTTCCTTAAACCAAACTGGCTGTGTCCGTAAGCTTAAAAATAAAAAAGTATCCGGCCGCCATCGGTTCCCTGCTCCCTTAAGGTCATGGCCTTCCCAAAATTCATACGATAGGAAAAGTCTCATAAAGAAGAGCATTAGTTTTATCAAGATACATATACATCAATTAAGTTCTCCAGGTCTCCCGCGATCATTCTCTTCAGAAGCTCCTAAAAAAAGAAATGTAGTAACACCGTAACACCACCAGCCACAATGGTTTTCTCATACCGGGGCACTTCTCCAATCATGCCTCGTATACACACACACAACTACCATACTATATAGAAATTACCCAATGTTTTTCACCAGAAACCAAACATCCCCACTCCCTCCCTAATTTTCTTCTGTCATTGTTATGCTCCATAGCGTTGGAGATTTTTGGCATTTGTATGCTATTCCGCCGCCTGGGGCTGGTGCACCCGCACCGTATGCACACACACACACACACACACACACACGTATCCAAAAACAAATAAGTCACCAAATAATTTTTACCAATAATCGAAACTGCCCCCTTCCCTCCCTAATTTGTTTTCATATTTCGGTGGTTCTTCCACACTGCGGTGAGCGTCTTATCCTCTAAAGTCTTAGGATTATATTGGCACTTGGCACTGGCGCGCCTTCTCCTTCCGGGACCACGCAATTTTTTGGTTTTCCTTCTCGCTCACATTATCGGAATTTACAACATCACATCCCTGCCAGTCATTCAACGGCGTGCCGTCTGCGTGCTGCACATAAATAATATCCCACGACATGTCTCGGAATAATTCCTCCCAACCATTAAAATACGCCGCCAGGCACTCAGTGAACTGCCCCACAGTGCCGCCGGTGGTGTGATGCTCACTCGCCGTAGTCATCCGCAGCCCAACCAGCGTCCTCGGATTTGAGTCCATGAAGAAAAAGGCGTCCAACAACGGAAATTTCTCAACCTCCGGCATGTACAGCACCCGGTGGTTTATACAAGTCTTCTTGTCAACGTGTTCCGCCAAAGGCAAAAAATAGTGCCTGGTGGGGCGCTCCCGTGAGTACACTTCCGGCGCACAGAGGCGTTACTGACGTCGTGTTGGTGGCCTCAGCTCCTTCAGTGTACAAATTATTCCAGTCATGAAAGTCCCAGTCAAAAATGCAAACACGGTGCTCTTCCCAAAAAATTGCGTATATGAGATGATCACCAATCCTCGATTCAAATAAGTTAAACTCAGCCTGCGTCATTAACTGTGCCAACATGCACAGTGGTTCACTTGCGAGGTGGGCAGTTATCGGTGCATTGAAAGGCGACTCGCCATTGCGCTCTCCTCGTACTCGGACAATCCTCGCAAGATATTCGAGCGCCTTATTATCCTCCCACAGTTTTGGAAGTTCCAAAAACAAAGTAACTCTCGATTCCCCAAAAGGGCGTCCTATCCACAAAGCTGTGGCAACCGTCGATCCGTGCGTTACAATTCCCTTCATCAAAGATGTAGCGAAGAATCAATCCCACTTTATCCATGCGACCCCTCAACTCTCGCCAGTATTCCGCTTGCTGCTGCACGGGTTGATTGCGCTTCATCCAAACGCACATTGCCTTCACGTCGCTCTCATCAGGGCAATTCATTATGATTCGTACGGCTCTCTTTTCACTCGCCCAGTGTATGTAACTTGTTTTCTCTAGTGTGGCCACCACAAGCATGCCCCATCCTCCGGGAGGCAAACAAGGAGGCAGAATATCAAACCTGCCTCCCAATTCGTAGATAATATACCCCTTCATCCCGCGCCAAGACAGGTCCTTCACAAGTTTGATCATATGTTCTCATCGATGTGTTTTTTCACCGCCTTGATGGTCTTGTCAAACAGGAATTTTCGATCCGCAATAAAGTAAACAACCACAGGGAGTTTCTCCACATCGCAGTGCAGCAGCTGGTAGAGGAGGTACGAGCCGGCATTCATCGACTTACCGATCCCGGGCGTCCCGATCAAGGCGTGCAGAATTGGCGCAAAGTGCTCCTCAGAAAGACTGTTGAACCACTCGGTGAGATCGCCCTTGACGATCTGCCACACTCGCTCCACCTCACAGTTCACATGGCAGTCACGAGTGGAATTATTCTCCTTCCATATTCCACGAGCACGGCCATGCTTTGTCCGAGGCGAGCACCATCAGTCTGGGACGTGCTTCACCAGATTGCTCCACACCGTCATCCTTTTCGAGGGACTCGCCAACTGCCCTGTACGTCCATGGCTGCGGTGGTTCCCCCTCACTCACATCCATTCCCGTCCCCTCGCCGCCAGGAACCCCCACGACACGATGCCACCTCGCATTTTACACAAAGTTGTAGCATCCCTCCAGGTATATCGGTGCACTCGTCGTCATTGGGTTCCTCGCCTCCTCGGCAGCTGCATCCAAAAACCTTTTATTGATTTCATGAACACTTGCCGTTACCTCCGCAGCAGCCACTAATCACCTCAGTAAATTGTCCATACAATGCTCCTAAAGCCTGCTTAAATCCTCTTCCATATCCATTTCATCCAATACAGCCCTCTCCATCATCTTGTAACGATCGGATGCCTGTATTTCGCCCAATACTCCTGCAACGCAAATATACTTCTCGGGATCCTAAAAACCCCTCCCGCAAGACATCCCGATTGGCGTCCACAAAGCCCCTGCCATCAAATCTCCTATTAAGAAGCTCATTCAGCTTTCTGTCCATGACACGAACTTTTCCTTCAAACAGTACATCTTCAATCTTACTTACAAGGGTGGATTTTTTTTCGCTGCTCCGAGTATCCGTCTGGCATTTCAAGAGCCGAATCAAGTTTTTGCATTGCCCGGAAATTGATCGTATCCCTCCTCTCATAGTCCCTCCATTGATGAAGAGAGAACACACCCTCGTGAAGAAGTTTGTACACCTGGTAGTCTGTCAAATTAAGAATTCCCTCAAGAAGCTGCTGGCCTTTTACGTAAGCATCGAATCTCCAAATAAACATCTCCCCCGTCGCATTGTAGTCTTTCATCAACGGTCGCCATGGAGCCAATACAATTCGAAAAAAAAATATTAAGCTTCAAGCTGGTGCTGAGAGTATCTCCGTCTAGCATTAGATCTTCCACCAGACTGTCAAGAGTCCACGGCGGTCACTCTTTACTCCACACCAAATGTCGAGCTGTAGCGTCGGAGCCAACACAGGTGCCGCTGGCCCCAAAGGACACTCGCGGCTGTTTCGTCCCGCAGTCCCAGTGGCGTTGGGCGTGGCACTCGCACGGCGGGGCGGTCGGTGCGCCACGCAGCCGCACTGCAACGCCTGTCGGTGAAACAGTCAAGGCCCACCGCCTCCGCAGCAACGCGACGTGCAACCGGCCACAACACCGCCACATTATCGTCCTTTTTTATTTTGTTTTATTCACGTTGTGTGTCGGTTTGCCCCATCACCGGCACTAAAAACAACTGCACAACTTCACAGAGGATGAAATCTTCTGGGTCGCTGGCCGGATCCTGTAATTACCCAAAAATAAGGGAAAAAAAGGCGGTGAATGGAGAGGCAATGAGTTCTCCGTAATGTTTGCCCCAATGTGTCTATGCATACACATTCTGCTAATCACTGCCGTTGACTTCTGCAGATGGTTAGAATTAGAAACACTTATCCCCCGCGAAGTGGCAGGCCTTTGGGGCTCCTCCACCCACAAGGTGGAGATCACAAAGTGGGTGGGTGGGAAGGCAAAAATGAAAAATAAAATAAAAAAATAATCCTTTCGTCTGGCAGCTGTCGGCTCCCTGACTCCCTCAATCGCGGTCTCCCAAAAGACAGTGCGATAGAAGAGAAAAAAGTTGTGAAGAGATATCTTCGTTTGCGCGAGATATGAATTTATTTGGGCAGCCAGCCGTCCTCACAGGCATTCTTTTCACAAAATCCCATGAAAATAAAGAAAAATTATGCGGCCCCTACAGTGCGCAACAGCCTCCGGTGACGATGCGCCTCTGGTGGAAAAAATAAAATAAAATAAAAAAAAGGGTGTGGTGAGTGTGGCACTGCTGACCACAACGGTTCTCTGAAAAGAAAGGCATTCACTGTCTAGACCTCGTAGGCACACACATATAAAAATCGCTAAAATACTTCCTAATATATTTCACCAGAAAGAAATGCACTTTGATACTACTTATTTTTTTCGATTTTCTTGCCTTTTTCATCCCCCTCAGGTAGACCATCATCAGAAAATTTGATTGCCTCAGGAAATTTACCTTTTAACATAACCCGGTATTGGTGTACCTTTCCGTCCCAGAACGCCACAATTTCTTTTTCAGCGTCGGTTTCATTCTTGGGATTGACGTAATCACATCTCTGCCATTTTTCCATCGGCTTGCTGTCTGCGTGCTGCATGTAAATAATATCCCACGACATGTCTCGGGATAATTCGTCCCAATCATCAAAAAATCCCGCCAGGTGCTCAGTGAACTGCCTCACAGTGCTGGCGGTGGTGTGATGCGCACTCGCCGTCGTCATCCGCAGCCCGACCAGCGTCTTCCGCGGTGACTCCATGAAGAAAAAGCCGTCCACCAGCGGAAAGTTTGGGAACGTCGGTATGTACAGCACCCGATACTTTAATTCTTGCGGGCAATCAATAAACTTCAGTTCAGTTATTGCAGCTGCCTCGGTGGGGTAACCATGAGGGTTTAACGTTAGCACCGAGGACCGTGTTTCGGAAGGTGATGGTGGCTTCAGCTCCTTGAGATCCTTCACTATGGAAGTGACAAACTCCACACTCAAGAATACGTTCAAAGCATACTTTTTCAAAGCTGCAGGTTGAAGAACATTCTTCATCCCCAATACGAGGAAAAAAATATCATGCGGACTCAGCGCCTTTGCCAAACGAGATACTGTTAAAACCCCAAGATACTCACATATAAGTGCATTAGTGAAGTCCTCAAATGCACTACCTTCTCTCACTCGAACAACCTTCAAAAGTTTTTGAGACGGATCCTCGGAATACCATTTTTTCTCTCCTCCCTGTGTAAAGTACTTTCCTTGCTCCCCAAGATTGATCCATCTCAAGGCCCTCATAACATCTTGCGTGCGTTTTCTATATTCATCCTCATCGAAGATGTGACGTGGAATCGGCCCCAATTTTTCAATGCGTTCTTTGACCATCCTCCAGTATTCCGTTTTTTTCTCCGCAGTCTCGTCACGCTTCATCCATGCACACATCGCCTTCACATCCATCTCGTCGGGGCAATTCATGATGATTCGACTGGCTTTTAGTTGCTTCTCCCACTCATCATAGTTGCTTGCCTTTGGCGATGACACCACAATCATGCCCCATCCGGTGGAGGGTAAAAAATGTCTCAGCGGCGGCGTTCCTTTCTTTGCCACATCGTAAATAATATACCCTTTCATCCCACTCTTCCTCAAACTTCTCAAAGCCGTGATGCACATGTCCTCATCGCTGTATCTTCTCACGGTTTTGGCGGTCTTGTCAAACACGTACACATCACGTCCACCAAAACAGTGAACGACCACTTGGAGTTTATAGATATCGTAGTGCAGCAGCTGGTAGAGGAGGTACGAGCTGGCAGCCACCGATTTCCCAATCCCGGGTGTCCCAATCAACACACGCCGCACGGGTGAAGAACTGAGAGTCAAGTCAAAGTTGCTGAACCACTCGGTGAGATCGCCCTTGACGATCTGCCACACTCGATCCACCTCGAAGTTAACAAAAAAGTCCTCCGAAGAATCCTGTGTCATATTCCACGAGTACGGCCATCCCTTGTCCGAGGTGAGCACCATCAACACGGGAGGTGCTTCACCGGATTGCTGCACACTGTCATCCTTTTCGAGGGTGTCACCAATTTTCTTGTACGTCCATGACTGTTTCGGTTTCCCCTCCTTCACCTCCATTCCCACCCCCGTTTTCTTTCGCTCCTCGCCCTCCGGAAGTTCCACCACACGATGCCACCTCGCATTGTACACAGACTCGTAGCATCCCTCCAGTTTCATCGCTGCACTCGTCGTCGTTAGGATCCTTATATCCTCAAGGGCTGCATCCAAAAACTCGTTAGTGATGCCATGAACACCTGCCTTTACCTCCGCTGCAGCTTCTGACCACCCAAGTAGATTGCTGACACCATTTTTGTAAAGCTTCTTTATATCTTTTTCAAAGATTATTTCACCCTTTACAGCCCTCTCCATCCTCGCATAAGCATCTGTTGCCTGTATTTCGTTCAGTACTCCCTTATCACGGATATACTTCTTGGGATCCTTGAAAAACTCCTTCAGCAAAGCACTCCGATTGGTAGCCACAATGCCCCTGCCGTCCAGTTCCCTCGTAAGAAAGTCGTTCAGCTTCATTTCCTTGTAGCGGACTCCTCCTTTAAACAGTACATCTTCGATCGTAGTGGAAATGGTAAATTTCATTTCTTGCGCTCGTCTTCGCCTTTCCTCTGCCTCACGCCTCGCTTCTCTCAGTACCTGCATGAGAACTCCGTTTAGTTTTTCTTTTGGAAAAGGAGTGATTGTGTCCTTTCCTTCATAGTCCCTCCATTGCTCAATCGAAAACACACCCTCGTGATGAAGCTTGTACACTTGGTACTCTTTTAAATTAAAAATAACTCTAAGAAGCTGCTGGTCTTGTACGTAATCATCCGGCTCCTGAACAAACGCCTCCATCGTCACGTTGTGGTCTTCATCAACGGCCGCCCTGCCGCCAACATAATCCCAAAGGTAATCGTTCAGCTTCATGTCGGTGTTGAGAGTGTCTCCACCCAGCAGAATGTCCTTTACGGTGCTGCCCATGGTCCACTTTGGTTGCTGCGTTCCCTCCACTCCTCTGCGAGTTGCAGCGTCGGAACCATCGCCGGGGATGCCGCTTCGAGGCGCCATCACAACACCCGTGCGATGAAGCATCCCACTCGCACCGCCCAACTGCGGCCAGCAGGCGCCGCCGGCTCCAAAGGACACTCGCGGCTGTTTCGTCCCGCAGTCCCAATGGCGTTGGGCGTGGCACTCGCACGGCGGGGCTGTTGGTGCGCTACGCAGCCGCACTGCAACGCCTGTCGGCAAAACAGTCAAGGCCCACCGCCCCCGCAGCAACGCAACGTGCAACCGGCCACAACACCGCCACATTATCGTCCTTTTTTATTTTGTTTTATTCGCGTTGTCTGTTTGTTTTCCCTATCACTAACACTAGTAATGAGTGTACACCTTCGCAGAGGGTGAAGTAAAAATCACAAAAGAAAACACGATCCCACCGTCCCGATGCAACTCAGCACTCTCCTCCACCCACCACCATTGCAGCACAGGAGACCGCAGTCACATCGCAGAGTCAGCACCACAATGTGCACCGCACCACCGTGCAGTGAACGATGGGCGGGACGCAGCCATGCATCGCCCCGCTCCATTTTACCACCACTCAATTCTTGCGTGCCCGCACAAAGCAGCAAAAAGAATCAGAGTGCACACAAACCCAATCAACACCCTCACTCGCTGAAGCACATTATTCGCATGGAGTGGCATCCAAGCACACAGCAGCAGTAGCAGGCTGCATGGAATTTCCCTGCCAACCCTGCAAAGAGACACAACAACTCTGCGGAGTAAAAGTGGCAGCCCTCGGTGTTGCCCGCAGTTCACATGGCTGGACAAGTTCCACGCACGCATAGTTCCAAACCCCTCGCTGCCTGAGTGCACATCAACTGAACAAGTAAAAAAAATACGTGCGCGAAAGATGGCATTTAAATACGTGAAGGCGTCAGCCTGTTTCGTTCGATGGCGTTGGCGAGCAATCCCACACAATCCAATCAAAGTGGCACGCCGGACAGGGAGGCGTCAGTTAATACAAATAATTGCGCCAATGCAAAAAGCAGCAGGGATTTGGGTTTTGCACCCGACCTCGGGGGCGACAGTGGCATGAGAGTGTGTAAGTGTGCAATACCTTTCGTGGGACGGTGCTGCCCAATCCCGCCGTGCCTTGAGATAAAAGAACAACAACAACAAAAAGGATGGCCATGGCGCAGCTCCACTCAGGGGAAGCAATCGGGGCAGACACGGGTGGGAACCAAAGACCATACAAAATAAAAAAGGGGTAATAACTCCTCCAAGCCACGGAATCGTGCAATGTTCATCCCTCTCCTTCTACATTGAGGCCACCACGACAGAACAAATGCAACAGACACGCGTACCGCACAATATATTTCGCTGTCCCGCGTTCCATCTTACTTCCCATGCGTGCCACGGCGGTGTTGCCTGCGTTACATCTGAGATAACTCCAAAATATCAGGCACCACGCTGTGGAGAGTGGATGCTTGACGAACGTGACCGCGTTAGTGCCTAACACGAAATGACGTCAAGGAAAAAAGATATTCGCGGCTCAAGCCGCCCGTGTGTGGCCGTACTAAAGCAGACACTGAGACACGTGTGGAACAACGTAAAAGGAGACAGGAGGAACCACCAGAGTAATCCAAAAAAAACATATCGATACATAAATACACAAAAAAATACATCAGCCTGCATACTTTTCCGTCCATTTTCCTTTTTTCGCATTTTATACAACATCATAACCAACGAGAAAAACAGGCACGCCCTCCCACACAGTCATCGGGGAGCAGGAGAGAGAGTCATTGCAGGCACCCGCACAGAAATAGAAACAATGCACAGAAAAACAGCGAGAATGCCGTTGCGGAGTCCGATGGGTGGCTGTGGTGCGTAGCAGCAGTGGCCCCACGCCCTCCCT